TGAAAACAAATCTTCATGAGCAACAGCAATTGTGCAATTGCACAACTAATTATGCAGCAGTGAATGGCTGGTCACTAGACAGCTATCCTGCCAACCCTGCACATGATTCCCCCTGGACTAGTTGTAACCTCCTTCTTCCTCAAACAGGATTCTGGCCTTGATGTTTTTTAAAAATAAGCCATTGTCATTATTCACTGCAGTATTTTAAACCTAACTGTCTCACTTGTTACTTTTTGCTTTCATTATAAATATATAAAAAATGAGTACTGATAAGAGACTGGCATAAAACTTCCAAACATTTTATTGGAAGGGATACTGCTAAAACAAAAGAAAAACATTTTCATGCCAGTCTTGCTTTCTTAAATGGCAGACATATAAGCAGAATCATAGAGGTGAAGATAATTCTTTAGGAATCCTAGATGCATAGCATTTTTGATACAGGGAGGGGAAATTTCTGCCCTGGCAACCCCAACTAGCTTTTTCCTCATTCCCCCTTCCATCTCAGGCTGCAGAATCTTTCCCCTCCTTTTCTAGCTACAGTACCACATGAGGAGAGGATGAAGGCATGGGACAAACCTCACCCATAATGGTCCTAATCTAAACTGGAGCTATATTCATTTACTGTATTTGAATATAAGAAAATAATGACGCTGCATGCTGTACAGTTTAGATCTCCACGTCTCTCTCTGCAAAGTCTCTGTCTATGTAACAAAGGGGAAGGAAGCCAAATGCATGCGTTTTATCAAATTCCAATTCTCTCCCTGTCTGCCAGCAATTGGAGAACCTGCTATAAAGCGTGCCCCAGGATTAAGCAGACCTGTCATTCACTCAGCTCTCCTGGCTGCTCAGATTTACACATCCTGGTAGTCCCATTTTGGATCAACTGTAGTTCCCAGTTTAGTCTCAAAGGCACCCCAGTGAAAAGTGCCTTATACTAACCAAGTGAGTGTAAGTAGGATTCTGGGCCACACAGTCAAGAATGTTTTCAGGTTTTATTGGTAGGGGCAGGAGGCGCCAGCCCTTCAGTTAGGCTGGGTGAGGCAAATGCAGTGCTCCCCCCCCCACTGCCTCTGGAAGGGTCCACGCAGGCTGAGTCATGAGGAGAAGGGAGTAGAGATGCTACGTCCTTGCCCTAAGAAACAGATGAAGGTGGGGGGGGCAAGGAGGAGCAGGAGATCTGACACTCTTTTGCAATTTCTTCCATGGAGGAAGCAGGAAAAAAAGCCTTAGCCTGATTAGTGCTTGGATGGAAGACTAGCAGAGTTTACTAGGAATTTCCAGGTGAGGCAAAGGAGGAAAGGCTGGAGAGTCACTGCCTGAAACCCCCAACAGCTGGTGGTGGTTAGATTTGGTAAAATCTAGACCAGTAGTTCTTAACCTTTGTTACTCAGATGCTTTTGAACTGCAACTCCTAGAAACCCCAGTCAGGACAGCTGGTGGTGAAGGCTTCTGGGAGTTGAAGTCCAAAACTCCTGAGTAACCCAAGGTTAAGAACCAGTGATCTAGACTACATGGGCCCATGGTCTGATTCAAGGTAAGGCAGGTGCTTGCATTCCTAGCAGCAAAGGACTTGGGAGGTTCTAGGCATGCTTCAAACAAATATGCCACGTATATATTCTGGCAATTATGCCGAATAACTTTGCCCTGCTCCTTATATCTTCAGAGAACGTGTTGCTCTGAATAGGGTTCATAAAAGCAGAGAGTTGGCTGGGGCTCCCTGCGTCACCTGGCTCAAAATTTCTATAATGTTTGGAAAAAGATGAAAATTTCCTCCCCAGTAAAGTGAAAGGAAGATTCTAATTTGCGTTGGTAATCGTTGCTCTTGCAAAGGGGTTGTCAGGCTGTGGTCACACTGTAATTTGAATAAATTTCTGTTCAAATTTCTCAAAAACCAGGTTCAAGTCATGTGGTATTTAAACTGGTTGCCTTGTTCACATGAACTGAATGGAAACTGATGTATTGATTTAAATAGGTTTTGATGCCTGCACTGCTGAAATCAGCTCACAAAACCACACTGAAGAGAACTGATTTTAAAAGTGAAGTATTTTAAAAAGCCCCTGCCAGCCAGTTGAAAAAAACTCTCTTTGCAGCCCATATGAATCGATTTCACCCTCTCTCTTTGCAGACCATATGAATCGATTTCACTCTTGAGTTGTATAAACAATGAAATATAAATCGATTTAAACTCAGAGCACAGGTTGCTGTCCTCTGAAGAAATTGTATAAATGATGAAATATAAATCGATTTAAATGCTGCTTAAATGTGGTTCTTATTGCCAATGTGACTGCAGCCTTCGATCTGAATTGAGTAATCTGGAGAAAAATGTGTGGTGTAGCGCATGTAATGATGGCTGCTTAAATGCGGTTCTTATTGCCAATGTGATTGCAGCCTTCAATCTGAATTGAGTAATCTGGAGTAAAATGTGTGGTGTAGCGCATGTAATGATGAACTGCTTCAAATAGAGATGGTTAAGGAGACAGATTAATGCCCAGCTGTTAGCTGCATATGCACTGTACATCCCCTGATGAACACTGCTAAGGCATGGAAGGATGCAGTTTCGTTGTAAACAAGTGGAGAATTGTGATTGACTCTGAGTCTCTAGTTTGTAATCTTCTATTTATTTGTTTGTTCAAATATTTTCATCAAAAACAATAAGATACTTAAACGTAATAACTTAAAACACTTATGCACCAGTATGATCAATTTAAAACAATGTAGCATTGATTAAACAAACTAGAGTAAAAACAGAATAAATCCCATAATCCAATATTTACTGATGATTTTTGCAAAGAGGAAGTATGCAGTCCTGGTCATTATTGGTAGCATTTGCTGCCATGCGCAAAACAAACATTGCTGCTGTAGAATGTGTTTTGTTTGTCCCAAAACACTTTGACTTGCTGAGTGACTTGAAGGTGATAGTCCCAGAGGTTGGACAAATTACTTACAGCTACAACTAGCTATGCCAGTTGGGAGTTTCTGAGCAATGGTAGTTCAAGAAAGTAACTTGTCCAGGCCTTGGATGCCCTCCTGTGTTTCAAGGAGCAAATGCTGGCAGGGGAAATCAGAGCATGTGGCTAAAATGTTTCCTTGTACAACAGGCTGAGAAAATCTTCTTTCAGGGATTAAACCCTGAAAGGAACCGGGGAGCAGGATGGAATGTTCCAGGCACCATCGTTCAAACTTCTTGGAAAGACTAATGCCGTCTTTCTGAACGGTGCCTACCCAAGACAAAGCTCCTTACAGTGCCTAATCCCCAACTCTCTCCTTCATGCCTCCTCGGTGTTTTATGCTGTGGTTACTGCTAAAATTGAGATTTGATTAGTATTAGCTCTCTCCCTCTCCCCTTTTCTCTGGGGTGGTTTTATATTTGAAACGGAGGCGTAAATAATTACCTTGGCATGCAAAGGCAAACGCCCGCACTAACTTCTTAGCTTGTGGCAATTCGCCAATAAGACTTACGTCAGTTGTGTTACACCAGCTGGCCTAAGTAATAGGATTTTACTCAGCATTTTTTTGCGTATGGACGCAGAACTTTGGGTAAGTTAACTTTCATCTTATTTATGCTGGCCCAATGCTTCAGCCTGTCAAGCTCCTTTTAAATCATGGTTTGGTCTGCTGCGGCGTTAGTTGTCCTTCTCAGCTTTCTGTAAATTTGAGAAGCATCCTCTCAACACTCTCAGCATTCCTCGTTCTCTAGGACCAGTGGGCTGCCTTCTAACTTACTGAATGAAAAACCTATCCTTTCCTTCTCTTTCTTGGGAAATATCTGTGGCTGGTTATTCCACAATCTTTAAAAATGGAACAAGCCACTGTTATATAATGTTGAGGCTGTTTAAAATGGAACAACCTGTTTGGGAGACGTTAGAAGATTCCTTTTCGGAGGTTTCCTGGAAAAGTCTGGCCAGAGTTCTTAGATTTCCTGCTGCAGGGCAGATGGCTGGATCAGACTTTCTATTTGGAGTCTCCGAGGTCTTTTATTGTTTTCACAGTTTCCACCATCTTATCTTTCACAATGCAAAGGCACTGTTGAGGCACCAGGTCTAGAATTTCTGACTGCTATGAATTAGAAAAAAGTTGACTACACCAAATGGTATCGTTCTGAGATCTTACGTGGCAAAATTGAGAACAGAAGGCACGGCTTAGCTGGGATAGTTTTCTAGAGTAGGAAAGTGGTGAGGAACAAGACCAGGGAAATCCATGTTCAAATTTTATCAGGTGCTACCCAGGGTCAGAAAAGGAGCACCCCAAAATGACTAGTTGAGGGCCACCCTTCCACGTGGACCTAAAATAAATCTCATCCCAGCTACAACACACTATGGATTTTTGGAGACACCTTGGATTTTTCAGCTTTTCTTTCCACCCTCACCCCCATTAAGGCAGGATACTAGAACTACAGTACTGTAGAGAGAATACCTTTTGTGTGTGTGCTGTATAGCCAGAACTTTCAAGAGTGTGTCTGCTTCTGTGCCAAATGCCAAATTATCCTTCACCATTGCATGGAAACACTTTAGGAAACCAAGTTGCTCTTATGCACTTCAGCTGCCATGCGCCCTAGTGTGAAGTCTCACATTTCCCCCCATAATTGTGCTGATGTTGATGTTGGGATGTGATGAGCACTTACAACAATTCTTGTTCTTGGCAATTCTTGTTCTTGACAAGTCGCAGGGTGCCCAAATTCTCTAAAGAGCCATCCGCTAACATTGGTGAAAATGTGTGGCTTCTCCAGTCTAGCTTTCTCTTCTTTTGTCCCTCCCCTTGTTTGTTTGTTTGTTTATTTATTTATTTGGCCTATCTTTCTACACAAGAAACAGCCAGATCCTGCACAGCTAAATGCCCTTTTGGTGAATCTTGTGCAGGAAATACACTATCCTGTGCAAGAATTGTATTAATCCTGCATAGTCAGATGTTTCTTCTACTCCTTCAGGGTGAATCCTGTGTAGGAGAGGTGCCATTCTACACAATAATTTTAATAATCGTGCACAGACTTGCTTGCATTTTCTTCAGAAAACAATGGCCAGGAAACTTCTGAGAAATCTGCAAGATTTCCCCAAAGTTTTCTTTTCCGAAAACAAGTGTGATGTAGTGAACACTGTGAGTGGGAAAAGGGTTTTTTAAAAATTCCCCCTATGTTTTGCATGTGGGACGTGGTGGTGCTGTGGGCTAAACTGCAGAAGCCTGTGCTACAGGGTCAGAAGACCAAGCAGTCATAAGATCGAATCCACGCGACGGAGTGAGCGCCCATCGGTTGTCCCGGCTCCCGCCAACCTAGCGGTTCGAAAGCATGCAAACGCAAGGGGATCAATAGGGACCACCTCGGTGGGAAGGTAACAGTGTTCCGTGTCTAAGTCGCACTGGCCATGTGATCATGGAAGATTGTCTTCGGACAAAACGCTGGCTCTATGGCTTGGAAACGGGGATGAGCACCGCCCCCTAGAGTCGAACACGACTGGACAAAAATTGTCAGGGGGAACCTTTACCTTTACCTTTATATTTTGCATGGAGGGCAAGACACTGTGAGATTTATAGCCTTACTTTGGAAGGTGCTGCATAGTTGATAAAAATGGTTTTATTCCTCCCCAAACTGAAGGTACTCATCCCTGACATGGTGAGGGCAGCCAACACAAATCTGAGATTCAAATTAGTTTGTAGGATTATCACAAACATTATTGTGATCGTGCATGTGAAGCAGTTTGCACGCTGGTATTTGTACAAGTGCTTAGGCTGTTGTTTCTATTTTCAGTACTCATTGGTGTGGGCACAGACACCCTTCTTCAGGGGCAGTTTAAGAGCCTGGGTACCTACCTGCTGTGAGTATTGCTATCAGATTTAAAAAAGAAATAATGGGTTGTGATATTCTGTTTGCCCAATTCCTCCCTTGCTTAACCTTCTGCTGCTCCACTCCCACAGACCAGATCTGAATTACGGTAACACAAAAATGTTTAAAAAGAGTGTACCCTGCTGTACGGACAATTTATGGACAGAAGAAGGGTGTGCCTCTCTTCAGTATTGCAGGGTGAGGTCTTCCTTGCTCAACCCTGTGAACCATCCAGGTTATGTTGGCATGAAGAGTTCATCCACCAGAGATTCCAGTCATGTCAAGGGGGGTGAGAAGAAGGAACATATATGCTTAGTGTAACACAATCATTCCATCCTGGGGAGCCTGTTGATGTTACAGAGGAGTTCAAACAATGTTGGCTTCCTGTACACATATAGCTGAGTTCTTTGCTTTTGTCCATGTTGGCCTGGTATATTGGCTCAAGTACTGTAACTTTTTGTTTTTTTAAAAGGCAGCAGATCCAAAGGGGTAGAAGCCAGGCAAGAACAAAAATACCCTACATGGTTAAAGCTGAAACATCAGATAAGATATATCTACCTTCTTCAGGAATTCATGGTCACATCAACAGAAGGGAATTAATATTTTCAGTTATGGTAGAGCAGCCCTAGTGACAGGTGACTGTGGCAGAGGGTCTTCACCCGACCGTGGAAGTGACACTCAAGCTAACTATTGTTAGTACTGAAGAGTGGGAAGTAATGGTAAAACACTTCTAAATATTTATACCTTGGAAACACAATAATGAGACAATCTGAAACAAAACAAGGGAGAGCCATCTCTGACCTAAGTCTGCAGCCCATTTTTTGAAACCTACTTTAAACAAACCAACCAACAAAAATCTGGCACACACATCTGGTCATGGGTTTGGAACTTGCATGTTTCTTCTGCACCATCAGCAGCTCATGGCCAGCTTGATGAAAAACAGTATGAATAGCACAGTTGTTAATGAAGCAACTGGAGTAAAGTTGAAAGGCCATCTAGTTGCTAGTGTACACAAAAGCTAAAGGAAAATTCCAGTGCTAGACAATACACATAACTGGAACATGGGAAGCATACAGTAAGGTAACTCGAAATCATAGAAGAAATTAAATGCTTAAATGTAATAATACCTTGGGCAAGGAACTAAAGTGGACTTGAACAGGGCATTTTCAACCAGATAATTACAAAGTGTTTTACTCAAGAAATGAGACATTTGAAGGAAATGGTGTGACTCTAATAGTGAGATGAGATACAGCACAAGTAATTAAGGCTGAAATAATGGGCTCGAGCTACAAGAAGCCAGATTTAGGCTGAATATCAGGAAAAACCTAAAAGAATAGTATGACATTAGAACCAATTTCTTTGGGAGGTGGTGAGTGCTCCAACTCTGGAACAGAATAGTATGACATTGGAACCAATTTTTTTGGGAGGTGGTGAGTGCTCCAACTCTGGAGGCATTCATTGTACAACCATCTGTCAGATCTGATTTGATTTGGATTTCTGCACTGGATTCCTGGACTTGATGGCCTTATATGCTCCTTCAAACTCAATTATTCTATGATTCTATGAGATTCAAACTGGAAGGAGGCTAGATATCCTTGATATCCACTTTTGGACCATTCCCAGTAATCACACATGCTGGAAATGGACCAAATCAGAACATGAATATCCGCACCAAAAAAAGTAGACACCCCTGACAGGGATCCAGAAAGGTATGGGTAGGAACCCTTGGGGGGAGATTTGGTTTGCTCTGACAATTATGTCATGTGATGGCCAGAAAAAAAAGCTAATCAACTGATCCCCTGCAGTGGACCAAGCAGTGGGCTAAATGCCTGTCTGGTTGTGCCCAAAAACTGTTTAAATAGACTTCTTTCATTGAATTCCTTCATGGGAACTATTTCCATGATCAGTTTGTTGAATAACTGTTTGATAACACTGAGTATGCCCCACCAGATTGTAATGGACCCAGCACCCTGAGGCCCCTTCATCTTCACACAGTCTTGTTACTCTCCTTTCAGCAATGGGTGAAGACCTTCTTTTTTAGGCATGGTCTTAGCAATTCAGTTGGGTAGAAGAAAGAACTCTTATTATGGAATATTGCATGCTTACGTACTTTTTTATTATTATGTGTTTCTAAACTGTTTTAATACTGTTTTTAAATGACTGGCCTGTTTTATATTATTAAACATTTTTTTTCCAAAAAAACTTCTGATTTATTGTGCTTGGAGCTGGCACACTTTTTTTTAACCATTTGTGAGATGCTTATTTATTTTATAAATTTATTTTATAAATTTGGTCAGTAGTCCAAAACCTAAGTGAAGGTTGTCAAGGCACTTTACAGAGTGTTTGTAGTCCTGGGTCTCTACAGATCACCCGCTCCTGCATGACAGTGAATTCCATGCTTCATTATGAAATGGATGTTATACTAGTTTACATGTTCCCTCGAGTGACAGGGTACAAATCATTTTATTACCTGTTATACATTCATTTTTGTGATAATGAGGTTATATTAATGTTTCTTATGCAGAACACTGCAATAACTATTAACATAACTGCTTTATGACATAATTATCCGTTTATTTATTAGCCCTAAAATGTTGCTGGGTATGGTGGTGGTTCTTAGTGATCTTGTGCCATTTCAAAACTTTTAAAATAAGAAACCCTAAAAAGTACAAGTTACTCTTTTGATGATGAGTAATATTTCTGAGTTACCTAAACAGAGAAAAACAAGTAATAAGTAAATAGCTATGTAGAATAAAGTTTATTGTCTTCTATCGTTCCCTTCTTCTTTTCCCTTCACATTTTCCTAGCATCAGGGTCTTTTCCAGGGAGACTTCTCTTCTCATGAGATGGCCAAAGTATTGGAGCCTCAGCTTCAGGATCTGGCCTTCCAGTGAGCACTCAGGGTTGATTTCCTTTAGAATGGATAGGTTTGTTTTCTTTGCAGTCCACGGGACTCTCAAGAGTCTCCTCCAGCCCCACAATTCAAAAGTATCAATTCTTTGGCGGTCAGTCTTCTTTATGGCCCAGCTCTCACTTCCATACATCGCTACTGAAAAAACCATAGCTTTGACTATGCGTACCTTTGTCGGCAAGGTGATGTCTCTGCCTTGTAAGATGCTGTCTAGGTTTCTCATCACTTTCCTCCCAAGAAGCAGGGATCTTTTAATTTTGTGGCTGCTGGCACCATCATCCAGTCCTGTCTTTCGCATGATGTATTCTGCATATAAGTTAAATAAGCAGGGAGACAATATACACTTACAGCCTTGTTGTACTCCTTTCCCAATTTTGAACCAATGATTAGTTCCATATCCAATTCTAACTTGTCCCACATAGAGATTTCTCAGGAGATATGTATTGATACAATATATCGATAAAATATGTATCAGTACAAAAGAGAAAAAGGAAGGAAAAGAGAAGAAAAGAAAGAATAAAAAAAGGAGCACATACAGTATTCAGGCATCAGCAAGTAATACAGCCCTTCTACATGCTGTATTGCAGAAAATAATTAATTACTTTTAAATTAACATCCCAAGTTTGTACTTTGTCTTTACCACTTCCTTTGTTCCTTACCAGAAAGAGACTGAAATAAAAAGGGATGATAAACATAGTGGATTCATATTCTTTTGATATTCTGATAAATCCAAATGTTTTTCCCTAGAAGAATAAACCCAGTGAGGTATGGGGTGAAAGTGTCAATCTTGTTCCTCTCTCCCCTGCTACAGTCCTTGGCTTTGCCTTCCTCTGCGCCACCTTGTTGGACCACAGGAGGGGGCAAACTCTCTCTCCCTTCTGCCTCTGCTGATCAGGCAATGAGATCTGCCACCTTGTGGTACTGAAGAAGCAATGAAATGATGACGGTCATCATAGCAGCAGATACTCCACAGAGAGTGAAGCCCCCTTTCTAGTTCATTTTGTTGGAACACTGGGGGGGATTGCTTTGCCCACTCCTCATTTCCTAACCAGTTCTCCTTCTTCAGCATTTCAGGAGTAGCTGTTTCTGTGTGTGAAGTCGCCTACTTTGCCAGCCTGCTCTTGGGGGCCTGTTCCAAGTGAGTTCCACTGCCCATCCTTTAACTTCACACTTTCCTCTTCCCTACCTCTGCCCAGAGGGTCTGATCCATAGAAGAACGTTCAGGGAAGGTCGGTAAGGGTGGGGACATGGATGGATTGGAGGGAAGTGCATGGCAATTAGCTGTAGCAAACCCCGGCTTCAGCCTTCCACTTTCACTGCAGCCCCAAAGTTGGATCCAAGATGCACATGTGCTTGAAGCAAGTCAGACGCCGTGGGGCCTTTCAGAAGTTCCTGGCATATTTGCTGCTCTCTGTAGCCTGCTTCTTGCACCCTGTGCTTGTATGGCATGTCACTATTCCAGGTAAGAGGAAAAGAGGTAAGGAGGGTACGGAGGGGGGAAGAGGTCACTGCAAGGGGGTGAGGGCTAGCCCTCCTTTGTCCATGTCCTGGGAGCCCACTTCAGAAAGATTCCTCTGAACAGCTGTTAGAATTTTTGGTTATTTTAAAAATCCTCCTTCATGTGGAAAGCGCAAGGCTTGTCTTGGTATGACTGGGGACAGTGATGTGAAGCATGGCAACATTTCCATCTTGCAAGGCAAGGTTTCTTTCTTTTCCAGAATGGTCCTGGGGTGGAATTTAGCACTGCATTGTTTCAAAGTCAGTGTCTGGTTTGGAAATTTTAATTATTTTGTTAGAACATTTTTTTTTTGCTTTTGTCCATCCAATGGCAGGGCTGAGATCAACCAAGGAAGAGAAAGAAATAATTGCCATCCCCATCACTTAAACTCCAAGGATTTGAGGGCTAGGGTTGTCAACATGATGCCATTACCCTGCTGGTTGGTCTGCTTGTCTGCCTGATTCCAAAATGGGGGTAGGTCAGTGCAGAAGGAGAACGCAATCAATTGCCCTTGTGGCTTTTCTTGCCTTCTCTTTTCATATCCCTTGAAATACACAGATTCCAGTAAATTCCACACTTGGAGACAAGTGGAATCTTGTGGCACAAAAGGAAGTGACAACAGGCAATAAAAATGAGCCCCCATCTGGAAGAATCCTAAGTGTATCCTTGGGATAAAGAAGGCCCCAAACTTGGAACATTACCTTTTACAGACTACAGTTTCCAGGATCCACCACTGGCCATACTCGCTAGAGGATTCAGAGAGCTGTACAGTAATCCAAAAAAAGTTATTTTTCCAAGCTCTGGTCAAATATCACATCCTGTAGTGTCCTTCTTCTGTTCTCCATTTTCAAAGATGAAAACACAAACCTACTGCGAAAGGATTTGCTTATTATGTTACTAGCAGCTGCATGGCTTGAAATAGCTACTTGCTGGAAATCTCAACAGGACTCTTAATCCGCAGATGGGGAGAAAGGTTTTGGGAAGTGACCATATCGGAAAAACTTATGCACCCGAAGAGTCATGAAAGGAATAGCAACACAACACTGACACCTGGTATTCCTTTATTGTGAATGCCAATTGGCAGTTCACAACTTAAAGCCCTCCATGGCAGAAGACACAGTTCTGGAAGATTCATATTAAAGGTTCCTTGGATATACTGTACTGTATATGTTTATCGCTCTGTATTTTCACTTGTTTGTAAAATGGTTTCTCTAAGTTTTTCCAAAATTAACGAAAGGATGCAGAAAAACATTTTTTAAATGATCTGATCAGAAGGGATGTGCACAATTTTTTTTTCATATTTCTTCTGTGCAAGAGAATCTATCTAATCTCAAAGCAGGCAATAGTACATGAAAAAGAAAAGCCATCAAAATGTACCAAATGTACACCAAATATGTAACCTTTAGCAGAATAAATATGCAGTAAATTAACCAAATAACAATTTTAAAATATCATTCATATAGGGACAGCACCAATTCAAAGAAAAATAGCAAAAGAAAACAGAACAAAAAAAACATGTACACATGTGCACATGCATTCAATCACATGCACACAGCCCCCTCTCCCAAAAACCAAAATAAGAAAGCAAAAAAGCAAAAAATACAATCAAAGCCCCCACAACCAAAACAACAGAGAAATTCCCCAAAGAAATAAGAAAAAAAGAGAAAAAACTAAACCCAAGAATGTTTCTTCCATTTTTTCAGTTCTTTTCACAGCAGCAAAAATAACTTAAAGAAATGGAAGAACCTCCCCATCAAGAAAAAAAAAGAGAAAATATTCAAAATGGAGACACAGCCAGACAGGCAGCAAAAAGAATCCAAAATGGAGAACAGCAGGACTCAGTACACAACAATCCCACCCTCAAGGAATGGCTGAATTAAAAGAGAAAACAGAAAGCAACGAAAAAACAAAACTGGAAAAGGAGTATGACAAGGTTGTATATTGTCCTCCTGCTTAACTTATATGCAGAATATATCATGCGAAAGGCTGGACTGGAGGAATCCCAAGTGGGAATTAAGATTGCCGGAAGAAGTATCAACAAGCTCAGATATGCAGCTGATATCACTCTGATGTTGGGAAAGAGTGAAGACAAGAGGAGAAGGGGATGACAGAGGACGAGATGGTTGGACAGTGTCATCAAAATGACCAACATCACTTTGACCCAACTTGGGGAGGCAGTGGAAGACAGGAGGGCCTGGCGTGCTCTGGTCCATGGGGTCATGAAGAGTCAGGCATGACTTAACAACTAAACAACAACAAAGTATGGACAGATACTTCTGAATTATTATGTCTAGTTATTTATTGCCTTTGGTCCTTTTTAAGGAGAAAGGATATGAATGAATGAATGAATGAATGAATGAATGAATGAATGAATGAATGAATGAATGAATGAAATTAAGGGTAAATATCCTGGCAAGGGGAAAGTCATCTATGCCTCCTGGTGCCATAGTGAATAATAACTTGTTCCACAACTGTTTTTCCCCCCTAGTACATTGTGCATGGCAACATTCCAGGTATGCAGAGGTATGAAAGTTTAGGGTGGGGTAGGCAACTCCCAGAGGTCTGGGATGGGGCACACATGGAACACATAGAGCAATGTCCTCTCCTCTCCCAAAATATATTTCTTTAATTCTTTTTTTTTTTAAAGAAAAAAACACCCTTGTGGTACATAGTGACAAAAATACCATTTTGTTTTTAAATTGGGAGAGGGAGTCGGGGGCAGGGATGGTTGCAGGGTTCCAAACATGGCGACATTGTTCCCCATGCACCCTAGAGGGCACAAGCAAGATGGGGGTGGGGGGTGCATTTGGGCCTGTGAGGGTTGCACTGTGTCCACCCCATTTGAGCAGCTAGAAGTGGGAGTCAAGAGGCAGCTGAAGCTAGGACTCTGATTGGGGGATAGGTGAGCGGGAGCCCCGCCCTCCTGGATAGCCTCTCCGCCCGCGTCCAGTTGTATTTTGAAATATAGCCCTTGGGCAGCTAACTGGAGTTTCTTTGTTTCTGCCCAATTTTCAGGCACAATGCTGGTGCTCACTGGTTTGGCCTATTTCCTGCTCAGTAAGCAACGAAAAGAAACAAGAACAAATAGACAAGAGCAACGCAGGGACCCCTACGATACGGCCGTACCTGTGATGGGTATAGATGACCCTGGGCAAACATACATGTTCTGCAAGGGAGCCCATGGAGGAAGACCAAGCTCCTTTGCAGGATATTTGAGGACCTTTATCAAAGGCAGCAAAGAACAGGATGCTGCTAGGAACCCGGCCAGCGCACTGTCTGCAGGGAGGCAAAAGCACTTCGAGGACAACGTCATGGGTATCATCCTGCCTGTCAGAGAAGACTTGGAAGAGCCAGAAAGCTTGGCTGAAGAAAGCACATCTGACACAGCCCCCATCCTTACTTCCCAGCTGTGATGCTCCACAGAACAAGAAGAAGAACTCCTTCTGCTGTCTTTAGATTTTCAAGATGGAAGCATGCCGAGGGGGCTGGGCGGTGGGGCAGTCACAGAATGAAACTCCCAGATTTGGTGGACTAGTAATGGCAGGAGCCAAAGATTTCTGCTGTTGCCAGTGAATAGGGAAACCTTTCCTAGGTGTCCTTTTCTTCCACCCTTTCCTCCTCTTGGAGGTCTGTCACTTTTCCTCACGGACAAGGGATTTGTCTGTTTTGAGCCCCTTTTAGTTAGGTTACTACCATAGCAATTAGCAGACCTGATCACCAGTACAGAAGATGCTATGCCCTGTCCTGGCTTAGGAATGGAAGTAGCCTTTTGTTGCAGAGAAGACTGCTATTTGAAAAGAGAGATGTAATGACTGCTAGTAAACTATTTGCCAGTGTTTATAATTGTGGCTTCTTAGAATCTCTGGAGAAAGAATCTAAAGTTCAGAGCTCATTTGTCTAATGTTGGGCTTTAGGAGGTCTCATTTTCCTTGACTATTTAGCCAGAGTAAAGGAACAATGGCAGTTTATGGAGGGAGGAGAGAGAAGGTAAGATATTCTATATATATTTGTTGTATTTCTGTTATATATTATCTCACAATATGTAAATAAAATGCCACGGGACTGTGTAATAAAATTAGGAGACCATCACTTTTATTGCTTACAAGGTAACATCCTTTCCTACAGCTGCTAGATTAGATTTTTAAAATCAGAGACTGGATGTTCTTACCTGCTTGTACTTACTTACATGGAACCAATGGCCAGAATCCTATTGTGTATTTTTGCTGGCATAATGTCAGCAGTGTTAAATTTTAGCAGTGAACTGCCATAAGGTGTGAAATCAGAGTGGGCATTTCCTGTCACACACCACACCATGCCATTGGTTTGCGATAAGAGAATGCCTGTGCCAACTTTTTGAATGACAGTAATTTGCTGATAAATGTTACACCACCAACATTATGGTGGTGGGCTGTAACCACAGGTTTCCAGCTACTGCTTTAGGGTGGTTGTGGTTGTTTTTTAAATAAATGAATGTGCTGGATTGTACTTTTGCTTTTAGGTCAAAGAGTCTGCCTGAACTTGTTCTTTTATATGTTTTGTATATCTCTGAAAGCTCTCTGGCTCCACACAGTAAAGGTCTGCAAACAGAAACTGATTTGATGCTCCATTGTGACAATCTAAGCTATGGTTTATTTCATCTTAAAAAGTTTCCCAGAGTGTACTGCAAGAAAGTGTTGGTGACATTTCTTGATAATGTTTCCAAAGCCCCAATGATTATGGGGACCACTGAGGTATGTTTCATCCACAAGCGAGATGTTTCATTGCCAAATCTCTGAACAGTATTTTGTTAGTTTTTTCCAATTCTTTAGCTTCAACTCTGGCATCCCTGGGAATTGCAATGTCAATGATCCAGACATTTCTTTTTTCTATTACTGCTACAGTATGTCTGGTGTTTTATGTTCAAGGTGTCTATCAGTTTCGATCTGGAAATGCCACAAGATTTTGACTTCCTCATTTTCTGACACCTTCTCTATCTGATATTCCCATGGGTTTTTGAAGGCTGGCAAGTTATATTTTTTGCATAATGACCAGTGCACTAATTTTGCCACTCTATCATGTCTAATTTTATAATCTGTTTGTGCAGTCTTTGGACATTCACAGATGAGGTGAATGTTTTATCTTTTTCTAGGCAGAGTCTACATTTGCTGTTATCACTAATTCCTTAGATCTTATCTTTCATCACATTTGGAGTACTTGTTCTTGGGCAGCAAAAAATCAAGCCTTCGGTTTCTTTCTTAAGGGTCCCCAGTTTTAGCCATGCCCATGTTGAATTATGATCATGCTTTAAATCAATATTTCTCAGGTGTTGTCCATGTAATGGTTTATTTTTCCAGCTGTTTTATTTAGTTTCAAATTGTTATTTTGTATATTGGGCCTTTGTTTCTGCTTTCAAAACATTCTCAATTTTCACTGCCTTATGTAATTTTTCTCTGTTTGTACTGACATAATCATTCAGGTTTCTTTTTTCCTTCTCTACTACCTGCTGTATTTACAGTAATCCATGGCCTCTGATTTTTCGTCATAAGTATAATCTGTCCACATCACTTTTTGAATGTAGTGCGTGATGCATGTTCATTAGTTTCCATGTTTTTTTTTTGTAATTCAGTTCTTCTAATTCATATTGGGTCCAATCTATTATTCCAGCTAGGTATCTAATTACTGGAATGGCCCATGTGTTTATGGCTTTGATTGTATTTCTACCATTTAACTTTGATTTTAGGATTTTCTGCAATCTTTTGATATATTCTCTTTCAGTCAGTTCTTTAACTTTTGTGTGCACTATGTCATCTGCTTCTAGTATTCCAAGGTATTTATAATTTTCATCACTTTATAGTGATTTCATAATATTGCCATTTTTAAACTCTATTACATCTAGTTTTTGGATCTTGCTATGGTGTATAGACAGAGCTGCACATTTGTCAATTCCAAATTTAATTTGAATATCTTCACTAAATATTTGCACTGTTTTTAAGAGTTATTCTATCTCCGCGGAAATTTTTGCATATAATTTTAGGTCATCCATGTATAACAGATGATTGATTTTTCCTTCTTGTTGTGAACTATGGTAGCCCAATCCAGTTTTATATAAAATTATTGACATGGGGATTAGTGAGATGTTAAACAGCAGTAGTGGCAAAGAACCCACTCGAAATATTCCTCTTTTGATGCTAACCTCCCCAATTTCTTCACCATGGGCCATTAAAACAGTTTTCCATTCTTCCTTGTTTTTCTTGAGGACTAATTCCAAAATTTTTAAGGCAGGTGTTAATTCAGCTGTGTGGCAAGAAATTAAATGTCTTTTTATAGTCTATCCAGGCCATGTTAAGATTTGTTTTTCATCTTTTTGCATTCTTCAGTATCATTTTATCAATAAGCAGCTGTCTTTTTTGTGCCTCTGAACTTTTTGAAGTTCCCTTTCTGCTCAGTTGGGTCTAGGGAGTGTTCAATTAAATAATTATATATTGATTTTGCAAGTACTCCTGTGAGGAGCTTGAACATTGTTGGAAGGCATG